ATTTTGCTAAACTGGTACAGTTACGGAGACTCAATCTGGCCTACAATGAAATATTTTCTCTTGACCTGCTGTCGTTCCAAAATTGTACCCAACTGGAGGAATTGTACCTAAATAATAGTCAAATACACGAACTGACCCCGGTCATTTTTGTTCCTCAGTCCTTAAGGGTACTTAACCTGCAACACAATGAATTTGACACGTTGGACAAGTGTACAGTTACAAAATTACTGTCACATTTGCAAAACTCCTACATGTACATTTCAAGTGATGTTTTCATTTGCGATTGTCGTTTGGCCTGGGTTCGACGACTGTCAGCGGTTTTCGGTTCCAAAGTGAATTTTGGTGGATCATGTTATCTCCCTAGGGAGTTATACGGACAACCAGTGTTTTCATATACTCTGAATGATTGCACTTTGGATGACGAAAGTTTTGATAGTTGCAACACTGTCTCAACAACTCAAACCAATACAAAGACAGAACACCCGTCCGAGGCTTTGAATCGCTCGTTCGTCAATTCAGCCCAACTATCCAGTCTCCAAAAGGACATCAGCAACCTTCAAACTATCACAACTGTGTCGGTATTCGTTGCCGTTGTCGCCATTGTGGGGGTTGCCTCTACTGTCGTCCTGTTGCAGATATACTACTTTAGGGAACGAAACCGAGTGCCCTCATATGGGAGGAGCGAGGGTCACGTCAATCAAGGTCTCCAGCTATCGGAACAGGTCCAGAGTGAAAGATCACTTGAAGGTCAAAGTTCTGGGGATATTCAGTATCATACCACAGATGATACGGCCGGCAGTGGCCCTGGTTCCGACTGTGTAAATGCACCTCCAAGGTATACAGGCTGGGTTTAAAAAAGGGGAGGTTGTCACTACGCCGCCTCCACAGGTATCATAAATAACGTGTAGAAAAATCCCGCTTTTTTTACTTTGCGACTATTTAACATCACCCTTTTATAAAATACTTACAGAGGGAAAGTTGAATTGCGGCTGCACACGCCGGCAACAAAGATGTATATATACCTGACTTTTTTATGATAAGAATTGTTACAAAGGATTTCGAACTCTAACCGCTTATAGGTACATGTGTTACTCCAAGCATTTGTCCCACTTTAATAGCCGGAGAAGTTGTTTATTAGTCATAGTTAAGCAAAGTCAAGGACAGCAATTAGTACCCAAGCACTGTCATTGTGGCCGCAAAATTAAAAGAACGTATGTTTTATTCCATATTTATTATAAAAGTGCACATTGGGAGATATATACACACACTGGACAAAAGAAGTGTCACCCCTACTGAGACAATACTATGGGGGAGATAAATGACTGTGGAATGATATGCTCCTGGTATCATTTTATTAACATCAAATTTCACAAAAAATCATAAAATGAGAACAAAATATACATTCTACTATAATATGCAGTTTCAGGTCCAAGATTAGTACTTAGTGGCATAGCCACGTGACCTAATAATAGGTGCCAGTCTACGAAGCAAGGATTCATATAATTGTCTGATGCGTTCAGGGCTTATGCTGGCCCAAGCATGGAACACTGAATATATCAGAGTTTCTCTGCTGGTTAGACGGACATTTGTAAAAAGTTTTGACATATCATTCCACACATTTTCTATTATGTTAACATCCGAACTCTGGGCAGGCCACATCACCCTGCGAATGTCCAGTTGGTCAAACCAATCATCAACTGCTCTGGGCCTGTGACAAGGAGCATTGTCATCCTGGTGAACAAATGGATAATTCCTGTCACCAAACATGTTAGTAATAGATGGTAGCAAGCCTGACTCCAAAACATCGATATATTTCTAGTGATTCATGTTTCCAT